CTCTCTCTCTCTCCTCTCTCTCTGCCACTCCACCCCACTTGTTCTCTCCCTCTCTCTCTAAAAAAATGTTGAAGAAAATAAGGAAATATAGGCAAATGCTTTCTAGTAAATGTGGGATGTGAAGACTCCTAAAAAAATATCACAGTTCAATACAAAAATTGACAGGAACAGACTAGTTAAAATTCCAGATTGATGAAATATACCACAATAAAAATAAAAAATCAAGGACAGTGTTGAGAGAAACTATTGAGCCATGAATGCAACATGTGACAATAGGCATACTTCAACAGTGGCAAAAGACTACCATGTGCAAAGTGCAGCAAATCTAAACATAGAAAATGAACTTGCTTTTCTCTCACACAAATAAAGTAATTTTGGTGAGGGAAGAAACCAGTCCCCACTTTCCCGTGTTGTTAAAGTAGGCTGGGGGACGGGGTTCGTATGTTTCCTGTGAGCCAGGATATGTCCTGAGAAGGAACCTGGGACAGAGGCCTGCTCACAAGCACCAATACATACCTCCCTGCTAACACACACACCACCTGCCATAGGGCCCCCCAGTGAGCTGAGGGTCCCCGAGTCAGTTAGGAGTTCCTGGGAGAAAGGTGTGCCTCAGGACATAATTCCCACCGGGAAGCCACAGAGGGGATGCTCGGCTGGGTGCATGAAGATCCCATATGTGCCACACTGCAGCGTGAGAATGGAGTGCTAAATGGTGCTGGGTTAATTTGCTACCCCTTTGGGGAAAGAAGTCAAGTTGGATCACACCTCCTACCTTTCACAAAGGTAACTTCCAAGTAGATCTGTGAGACCCTTTAAGTGTAAAAGTATGAAGGAATTAGGAAACCCTATGGGAGACTCTTTGTAATTGGGGCATGAGGGAGGACATCCTAAGCCACACACAAAAACAAGAGGCAACGAGGGAAAAGAAGCCTGCCTTCCAGGTAACAGGAGGCCAAGAGCAAGAGAGGAGGGAAGTGACAGGGTGTGAGGTGATGCATGCCGCATGTGTAGCAGACAAGGGACCGGCCAATCCTCTGCAGGACTGTCCTGGACTGTGGTGTAACACCCATCTGCATCTTAGACCAACTGGTGGCCCGCCCCCGGAAAGGAGCCTGGAGCCAGCACTAGCCACAGTTGTCAAACTCTAAGCTGAATGGTGCTGTGGCGGCTTAGAGATTGATTTGGTGAGGGCTGTGCCTATCTGTGGGTGGCACATCAAGGTGAGGGGATTATGGTTGAAACTGCTTTGAGAGTGGCACATAGGGCCCTGGGGAAGGATGCAGACTTTGAGACTGGAGGCATCCGCTGGGAAGCTGGATGTCTGCAACCTCAGGAGCCACTTAATGGGGGCGGGGGGGAGGTCAAATCACAAACTTCCCAGGAGAGGTAGCAAGCTGGGGAGGGCACTGGGAGCTAGTGTCCAAGCCAGTACCCACAGGCACCAAACGTAGACGTAATCATGAGATGAATAAGAAGCAGAACCAGGGCTTTTTGGGAGCTGGAAGGCAGTCTGTGGGGGCAGTTCCAGATTTAGCCAAGAGGCAGGCAAGGCTGGGGTGGGCCCCATCAAGGCAAGGCTCTTCCCCACAGAGTGTGACAATCTCAAGCATCGATGACCTTATCAAATATTTCCCATGGGGAAGCCCAGAAAGAATCTGTTAGTTGCAGCAGGCAGGTAGGCAAGTTTGGTGCCCGGTGGTCCCATGCTGTTTCATTCTGAATTAGGTATGAGAGGGGGCACCATGGTCTTTCTGGTGCTGAAAGCCTCTGTATGTCTTAATCAGGCCCTGAGTGGCAGGCATGCTCCTGAGTCCCCTCCACTGCCTCTAGGGCTCCTGCTCTGGCACAGCAACCAACCAAGGGATGAAGGGCAGACCAGAGGCCTGAGCTTCCAGACACAAGGAGTGTTTTCTGGAGGGCAGTGCCAGCAGACGCAGAGGAGGCTCTTGAGTTGGGCCAAAACCACACCATGGAGACCCTTCGATGCCAACAGGCTTCCCAGGGACAGAAAGTTGCTCAGGAGATGGGCAGAAAGCCTCCAAGGCCCTCCCTGAGTTAGAAGTCAGCCGTGGCCTAAAAATGCCAAGTGCCTGCCTTGGAGATGGAGGACAAGTGCCTGTGGCAGCACTCGACTGTTGATTTGGCAGAGCAAAGAGGAGAAGGGAGGCATGTGTTAACTTGGGGCCCCAAGCCAGGAGGAAGGAGAAAATCTTTTCTGCCTTTGTGCTGAGATTAAAGAGAATGAGCATGAGGGTGTCACTGAAGACAGCATTGGCCAAGCAGGCTCCACTGGGACAAGTGGGTGTGGGCGCTGTCTGCACGGCCATTCTACTTGGGAAATAGATTGCCCAGTCCACCTGAGGCTGGTTTGGGAGAAAGGGGTGGTCGCATTAGCAACTCTTAAGCAACGTGGCAGGGCCCAGCAGCCAGCAGAGGAATAGAGTTCCTG